TACCTGCAGCCCTTTTGAAACTTCTCTTTAGGAAACTATTCCTCTGCATAATACTGAAAATCAGAAAATATTTTAAAGTGGTTTTAAAACCAGACTTTTCAGAAGACATTACATTTAGTAGATCCTTTTATTACAGATTCTAAATAGAATATATAGGATTGCAACTGAGAGGCTTTCCATGTTCTTCTGTCTACAGCTGTTTCCAGTAATACATGCCCTATTCAATAAATGTAGTTAATTATTCTTCAATCAATGTAACCCATTTCACCTCAATTTCTAGTCCATTTAAACCAATTAGGTTCTCTTTGTCTTTTGTAACTAGCAATTAGTAGGTGGTATTTGTTTACCATGACACTGACAAAGATTCTAGGGGCCACTTTGCTTCTCTGAGGTATCTGCCATTTCGTGAGCTCAGAAAACATATCTGCATTGAAATTAAAAGCAAGCTAGCATGCGAAAAGTCAGAATCAAATAAATAGAGATGGTAATTTTTCATGCTTATGTTTCATTTTTATTTTTGTAACTGTTTTTTGTACTCCTCCACTACATGATTGTGAAGTAGAAATTAATGCCTTATTGTTCTTCGTTGTAATGCAGAAGCACTGAGCTGTGGTTGGTTATAGCAGGAAAACTTTCATGATAAAAGTTAGGCCATGGCTTTGAATTCCCACTACATTGTTAAGCATCACTACACAGGGACAGGTAGTGCCCAAGTTTCTAGGAGGGAGCTACAAGACATGTAGAGGGTCAGATGTAAACTTTTGTAACAGTGTGAGATGGAATTCCTGCAGAGAGTTCATCCGGCTGAGATGAACAGCAATAACCTGCCTTAAAAGAAAGCAACTGCAAGCAAGACAGCTACAAAACGCCAGAGCAGCTCCTACAAATTTCTGAGGATAAGGCTGACAAAGGATTCACCTTGGTAGAGGGGCAGAATGAAAGACATAAGACTATGGGATCAAAGTCTTGTAGCATGGCATTTAACAGCCATAACAGTAGACATCTTCACAAGGTGTCTCAGAGACCTTTTTCCACATTGCTGTAAGAAAACCCACAGCAAATCCATACGAACAGAAGAGACAATTACTTGCTTTGGGATTTAAACAAAACCAAAAAACAACAGAACAAAACAAAAAGTTGAGAAACGTACCTTGACTTCCAGGTGAAGTTTCTTGCATTCCAGTGCTTGTGATCTCCAGTTTGGCCAACACGGCTGTTGTCAAGTTCTAACAGCTACCTACAGCAACCATTAGCACTGACTAATGCAGCCTGATTTCTTCAAATGCACATTTGGCATGACATTTCAGTGAGTTGTAATTTTAGAGAAATTTTGTGTGTCATTATTCAGAAAGAATTTATCACAAATGCTGAATTTCTACCCAAAGTATACATACCACTTTTATAAATTGTGGTAACTACTTAGAATGCAAACAATGTTGAGGAGAACATGCTGTATTCTTACGTTAAAGAAGGAATGCAACCTCTTTTGAAGGTAGCATTATAACCTACACCGTTTTAACTGAATGAATAGGTCTACCTGTACAATATAGCCCTGGCCTTTACATTTCAAATAGCCAGAGAGTCCATTTAGATTTTGGCACTTTCTATACAGTACAGACATGGCTGCATCTAAATGTTTTATGTTCTCAAGAAGTAGGCTTGGTTTCTCTGACTTAGCTCCCCAAAATGATGTTCAATTGCCTCTTTGCAGACTGTGTGTTTCTTACCAGATGCTTTTGTACTGTCTGAGCTTCAAACCAACTTAATGTTAAGCAAGCTCCATCAAAAAGCTGCACAGCTTTGCTTGCATAACACTCTAGACATATCTGCCTACCAAAAGGTTGCAGCCATATGTCTACAGCCAGGGCCTGACTTTAAAACCAGACTTCTTGTATTCTGTGTGTAGTGATTTTATTTTGGGGCAAATTCAAGACTGTGACTAACTCTTACGTGGTAACTGGGCAAACCATTAGGCCCTTGGTTAGTGCATCTGAAGCCATGTTAATAACATCTTATTTTAAAGCACTTTCTTAGTGTCTTTCCAGCTGATGAATAAAAAAAAAGTATTTTAAAAAAACCTGTAAGGGTCCTAAGAAATCTGTAGTATATCATGTACCGACTAATTCTCAACAAAAACTATTATTTACAAAACATCTTTTACAAAACATCTTTCACCATAAGAACTGTCATAACTGCAGAAAGCTTTTCTCCAGTGTATTTTTATTAGGGATTCCTGCCATCATATCAACATACAAAACAATCAGGATGTTGACATATAGAAATGTGAAATTCACTGTACAAAGATAAGGCTCGAGTTACAGGTATATATTCCCCTTAGTCTCCATGAAATAAAACCATTTTTAATTCTTCCCAGAGTTGTGTTTATAAATGTTAGACAAACCACAAAATAGATTTCAAGTACATAACATGTTACAATATAATCCAAGCACAGACAGAAATACACAATACTGCACCTATAGATGCTCCATAATCCAAGTCTGTCATCCTCACCAATAAAATACTAGACTGCTGCTCTCTCTGAATATGCCCAACCATATCCTTCTGTGTGTAGTATGTGGTCCTGGCCTTTAAGTTTTAGAACTCTCATGACTTTCAGTTAAATTACTGTGATAGACCAGAGAATATCAGGAAGGAAGGGAAGAATTTTAAAAGGCCAGGCCTGAATGTGTGCACATGGTTAGTAAAGGCAGGCACATGTGCACACACACACAGACTTGCATTTAACCCTACATAAAACCTCATTGCACTGCACATTTTCTGAGATTATGTTCTCATACAACTCAGCTATTTTCTGATAGAGTTAAATCAAGCATAACAACACTACTGCTTCTGGAGTGCTGTAGTTTACAGGGACAAGACTATATTTTTGAGCATAGGATTGACTTTTTTTTTTTTTTAAATAATTATCAGACTTTTATAGGAGCCTGTATGGAACCATGTCTCCATAGTCCAGCAGGATGCCAGCTCTCACAGCCTTCACCACTCGAAACACCTTTTCTGACACCTTTGTATAGAAACAATGCATGTGAATAATTTCCGTTAAGGTCAAATGTCTACTTCAATTAACTCTCCATTTCTATTAGGCTGAATGATTATTACCTCATGGGAAAGGATCATTTAGCTGCAAGTAGCACAAGAAGTAATACACATCAAGTAACTAATCAATAATGATTCTTCTGGGGAACAGATTGGCAAGGACAAAGAAAGACAAGAGAAAAAAGGTTGTTGTTTAATTTAGCCTTTGTTGCTTGGGAAATGAATAGCAACCCAAACATTTTCAACTGAGAAAAGGAACTCCTAAGCCCTGTATCTGTTTTGTCCTTTAAAAACTGGAGAAGATTAGAAGGGAAGGAGAAATGCTCTAAGGAAACTGCCATTTTCAAACTAGACATTTGCAAAGGCTTACATGAGAAAACCAAGGAAAACCAATTCTCTGATATCGAAAGTAAAGGAATTTATTCAGTAGGAATTAGAGATGTGGTTACAACGTGTTAAATGCACATCTAATAAAACAGCCTCAAATATGCCTCCAATTCATAAATCTCTAAGCAGCAGAAAGACTCTGAGGCCAAAATCAGAGTTTTCTAGTTTAAATACGAAATACGTATGCACTAAGATCTGGGGGTGGGGGCTGTGGACGGAAGAATATAAACTTTCTCCTCTTAAATACAATCTCCGTGGTACATTTGAGGGCCTTCAAATGTTCTCAGCGTTGACAAGATTTTACTTAAGTATATTCTCTAAGCTATATTGGAATACCTTTAGATATACAAATCCATGTTACACGAAACAGCATTAGATCATGTCAGTCGGCTCGTAATAACAGGGAAAG